GGCACACTCGTGACACACTGGCCCGTTGTGCCCCACTGAGGCCCGGCACACGCGTGACACACCGGCCCATTGTGCCCCACTGAGGCCCGGCACACTCGTGACACACCGGCCATTCCCACCCGTGTGTCCCAATGGCCCCCCGGGGCCAAAGCAGCAGCTGTGGGCGGGCTGGGGTGTCACGAGCCGCCCGTCCTCAGCCGGCGCTCTCCTGGGGTTTGTGGGTGCCGTTTGTGAGGGCCGAGTCGCTGCGCGGCGCCCTCAGCCAYGTCTTGTTCTGAGCCAGGAAGCGCGCGCAAGGCGGGATCCGGCACCACGGCGTTGTGCGGGATCATCCGTGTGCGCAGCCACGCGRCACCTTCCCTGCCGCTGAGGCCGGCGAGCTGAGGAGCCCCGCTGGGCCCAGCCTCTTCCCGGCACCCGGCTGCAGCACCAGCAGTTTCCAGAGCCCCTCAGCTCACCTGAACCTCCCGCCCATGAGCAAAACTCCCCGCCTCTGCTTTGCCGTTTCTAATCCACAACTCGGGCGTTTTACCAGGCTCCGCATTTACCAGGCAACAGGGGAAACTGCTGCCCCCCTTAGGCTGGGCCTGTTCTCTGGTTGTTTTAGAGCAGAAACAGCTTCCTCGCTAGTGCTGCTGGTATCTTTGCAAGAGCTGAAGGCCTCTCTCCCTCCCCATTGCCACGTTAGGAGGGGCAGGAAGGTTCAGAACACCCGGCCTCACAGCCGGGCATTGAAAACCTGCCTGCAGCGCCAGGCAGCAGCTCTGAAATTTGCTTTTCTTTCGCACCCTGCAGGACCAGAGGAAAAGGAAATATCTTAGAACAGAGGCAGGAGGATCCTGAATGCACCATGGCAAGGAGATTGCACCTCAGGGAGCAAAACAGGGTTGTTGGAAGCAGTGGTCTCAGGCCCCAGGCTAGTCAGTGCAGATCCCAGCCCAACTTCCCGCTGCCGTCTTGCGGGCACAGCCACAGCACGTGTGCACAGAGGGGTTGGATCCTGACCTGAAAGCAGGCATGCCTTCTCACATGAATCCCAGWATGGCTGAGGTTGGAAGGGACCTCTAGGGATCATCCAGTCCAACCCTTGCTCCAGCAGGGACACCCTGAGCACGGGGCACCCAGTCACATCCAAGCAGATTAGGGAGATCTCCAGAGCAGGAGCCTTCCCAGCCGCCCTGGACGGCCTGGGCCAGGGCTCAGGCACCCTCACAGCAAAGCAGCTCTTSCTCACGCAGAGATGGAGCTGCCTGGGTTTCAACTTGTACTCATTGCCCTTTGTCCRGTCACTGGCCACCACCAAGAATTTGGCCCCATCTTCCCCACATCCTCCCCTCATATTTATACATATTGATCAGATCCTCTCTTAGCATCCCCAGGCTAAACAGGCCCARCTCAGTCTTTGATGAGGGTGATCATGATGATTAGGGGCCTAGAACATCTACCTTATGAGCAAAGGCTGAGAGAGCTGGGGCTGTTCAGCCTRGAGAAGAGAAGGCTGAGGGGGAACCTGATCAGTGTCTATAAATACCTCAAGGGAGGCAATGAGGAGGATGGGGTGGCCTCTTTTCAGTGGTGGCCAGCAATAAGACTGAACAGCCACAAACTGAAGCACCAAAAGTTCTGCAGGAACTTTTTCCTCAACAGTGAGGGTGACAGTGYCCTGGAACAGGCTGCCCAGAGAGGTTGTGGAGTCTCCTTTTCTGGAGATCTTTAAAACCCACTTGGATGTAGTCTGTGCCACGTGCTCTAGGTGACCCTGCATGTGCCCTTCCAACCTTAAGCATTCTGATTCTTTCCTCAGACGATAGATGCTCCATCATCTTTGTTGCTCTCTGCTGGACCTTCTCCAGAAGCTCCATGTCCCTCTTGTCCTGAGCAGCCCACATAACAGCCCTCAATACCTTCACCAGCGCTAAGATGAAGAGCAGAGCAGAGCAGGGCAGGATCAGAATCCCCTCCTCCTTCACCCTGACATCCTCCTCATGCAGCCAGGAGCCCATTAGTCTTCTTGGCCATAAGGGCACTGCTGCCTGATGGCAAACTTTTGTCCAGCAGGACTCCCAAACCCCTCTCCCCAGAGCTGCTTTCCAGCAGGTCAACCCCTAGTCTGAACTGAGCACAAACACTAGCAACCCCCACCGTCAGCCTGCTCCTCTGCGAGCATTTCACAGGCAGCTAACGTGCCCACCTTCTCCATCAAGTGGCAGGACATCACCACCTCCACTTTGGACACTTTCGTTTTTATTTAAAAAATCCAGAGCAGATCCAGTAAGTTTTATTAAGGAAATTGTTTCGCCATAAGCAGAGAACAGACACAGGATGGAGCAGAAGGCTCAGACAAGCAAAGTATGTCACTTCCACCCAGTCTCTTTTGTAAGAAATAATGGCACAGCTAAATCTGAAGCTGTCCCTGTCCCTCAGAGCAGAGGTATGAGGGTAGCTGCAGCCCTCTCTGTTCTCCAGGAACAGTGCCGGCCGTGTCACTGCTGAGCACGGGGCCTGATCCCCCTCTCCCAGGTACTCGGTTCTCCAGGGGCATCGCTCCTCCCCAGCACTTCTGTCTCCATCCTTAGATTCAATAACATGGTTTCCAAASGCCGACGTTGAATTTAGATGACACAATGGTGTACTATCAGAAAGAAGTGATCAGCGAGGCCCCAGGAAGCTCAGTGGAATACCACAGGGCCCAAGACTTAGAACTTTGTCTGGCATGAATTAACTTCCATCAAGAGACAATTTATCTAGCAGACACATCACTAGGTTTGTACATTAAAGATTTTTTTTTATATATATAGAGTACTGCAAAAACACAGTAAGTCTGAATTCTGCCCATTTCTGCTCAGGAAGGCCCCTTCTCTCCCAAGCGTCAAGAACATCCTCTTCATACTCCAGTCTAGGCAAGACAGAGACTCCTTATTGCTTCTCTTCCTTCTGATCTCCTGGACTTCCAGATCCCTCTCGTTCTGAGGCCATCTGTGAAAGAGTCCACTTATTAGTTGCAGTATCACCACACTTCTCTCAATCAGATTTATTTCCAGCTAGCTGCTTTAAGTTATTTCTAGATAGAAGAAACTCCCCCCCCCCCCAAAAGCTTAATTGTCCACTAGAGAATGAAAGTAATTATCTCTGTATGACTGCTACCAAGAGGAAGGAAACTGTCTTATTTTCCTTTTTCCAGGGCATTAAATAACAGGCTTACACTGCAGTAAACATTCCAGTTTGACATTAAGAAAATAAAGTTTTCCATGTTGAGGAGAGCTCATCACCACCAAGGTCACCCGAGCAGAACGGGACATTTCTATCTCAGGAGACTTCAGAGAGGCTAAGGGCACATCTGCCAAAAAGGCCTCAAATTGATGGGCCTCTTGCTAGGAAGACAGACAAAAAAACTCCTGAAAATTCAGAGAGGCTGAACAAGAAGTCTGTTATCCCAGTGCCTCTGGAAGAGCTTAGACATTATATTACTTTAAATACACCTAAATCCTCATCTGCAGATCCGGATGCTCTTCTATTACTGGCATCCAGTGGCTTCCCCTACTCCACTTCAGAGGAACGAAGCATGTTTGGCCATCMCCCATGTCCTTTACAGCTGCTGCCACGGCAAGTTCTACTCCAGGGCAGCTGCACCAAGACCAAGTGATACCTCCAGCTCTTGCCTAAACGTGTGGTGGCCCAAGCACCCCCTCCATCCCAGCCCCATAAAGCACCAAGGGTTGAACCTACTTTCTTGTACGCCATTTCAAAGAGCTTCAGGGACGCCTGCTGCAGGCTGGTTGCCGCCTGCCGGATATTTTCTCCGGTTTCAGTATCCTTACGAGCCAAAAGTTCCCTCATTTTAGCAATTTCTTCCTTCAGTTTGTTGCACTGCAAATAAGTTACAAGAAACATGACGCAACGCGGGACCCGTTTCACTCCAAGCAGCATTCCTGTCGATTCACCCACCTACTGACCACAGCCAAGCTGCCGTTTTTCTCCAAAAAGCACTGAAACAAAGTCTCAAAAGATGCCGTGTGCGGGGACTATAACGGTGCTCAGCTCCCAGCGGGCACAGGGCCACGTCACCAACCGCACCACAGCGGGCATTAGCTGCCCCCCYTGTCTGCAGCATCAGCAGAAGTGCCAAGGACACCCTGCGCTGCAGACATGGAGCCACCCGCCAAGGCCAGGAGGGAGGGAGGGAGAGAGCGCGCCAAGGAGGATGCTTGAACCACCCCATTTAACTCTTTTGTTGTAGGAAGGGAATGTGGTCTCGTTCTAGCCATGGGAGCCGCCTGCCAAACACTCCCAGTGCTTCTCTGTCACCCCAGCACGCTGCTTGGGAGGCAGCTCCGGAGGGGCAGGGGTGCTGGGGACAGCTCTGCTGGCAGCACTTGCTCAGGGCTCTGCGCAGCCAAAACGTGGGCACGGCCTTTGCTTCATTCACACCCACGAGGTGGGGAAGGCAGTTGAGGTCCTTGTGCCTTGTAAGGCTCTCATCTCCACGCAGATTGTGCGGAGCTTCTTCCAAGCCTTGCGCCAACCACAAGCCCTTGGTATCCCCAAAAGCAGAGGGAGCAGAGATACAGGCTTTGCTCTGTGTTCCTGGGAGAGGAACCTCCAGATGCACTGCAAGCCATCACACATCCGGAAGAGCTGAGCTGGAAAAGCCTCCAGTATCAGAGGCCACATAGCAATAAACTACTACTGAGGTCTCCCTAACGCTTCAGAGCGCCCCAGAAGCTCTGTTTCTGGAAGTCGCTAACTTAAAGATGGCAAAATTTGCCTTAAACCTGGCCTTTGAAATTCCTAATGCAGAAACYGTCATTTAGAGCAGTACTAACAGCCCTGTGCTGAGGCTAAATATCCACTTCACCCCAAAAGTCAAGGAAAAAAAAAAAAAAAGAGTCGAGTGGGTACAACAGCTTCCGCTGCTTCCGACTTCTTGGGCTTGCCCTGTTCCGAGTGCCAGGACTGCAGATCAGCTTTTGTCGCTCTGCTCCCACGCTGGAGGCACTGCTCATAATCTTGCAGCATTTGAGCAAACTTCCTCACTCACAGAGGCCACCGTGCAGTTCTTATCAGAGCCCTGCAAGGCCACAGCAAGGGCGTAATTCACACAGCAGCCTCTCATCACTAGCTGTGCAGGTGCTTAGACCTTCACCGATGCTTAGCTCGCACTTTGAAGTGGGATATTTGCTGTTATCCAGGCCACATCCTCAAGACCGTGGCCTAACAGCCTCCCACAAGCCACGTTTATTCCACTCAAGTGCCAAAAGGCAGAGGGGTCAATGGCTGGGCTGTCTTTGCACAGAACAGATGCAGCTATGAGTTAAGAACAAACTCTGAAACAAAACCACCATGCAAATGGATCCCCACGGGGAATCTCACCTCCTTTTTCTGTGGAGTGATCCAGGACCACCTACCTCATCTGCTGGCAGCTGATCCTTGAATTCCTCCATCTTCGATTCTGTGTCATGGATGATGCCTTCGGCCATGTTCACAGCTTCCACACGTTCCTGGGGAAGACAGGGCAGAGGGGTTTAACTCATACACCACTGGCACTATCAGTTGTGTATGTATATTAAAAAAAATGCTATTTCTTTCCCCAAACTGCCCAGCTTCCACCTATGGTCCCTCTCAAAGAGAGGAGAGGGAAAGGAGGTTGCAGAGAATCATTTCCAGGTGCACCTGGATACAGGGAAGCCCAAACAGGCAGGCTGAGGGAGTCAGTCCTCCCTCACATACCTCCTCTGTCACCAAACTCACTTCCCTGGAAGCAGAARCGCCACAGATGTTCCAGGAAAGCCAGTGGCTACAGAGGCAGCACGGCTCTCTGCTCTGCTCCTTGCAAAACCCAGAGGTCTCTCCAAAACCACCATTCACTATTAGATTTCTTCTGCAATTAGGGCATTAGAGTTGACTAAATGGTGAGGTTGTTTTTCTGACACCCTCTTCCTGCAAGTACTTACAGCATCTCAACAGTTGGGGGGGGAAAACACAACCCAACATTGGGCTAATTAATAAATTTGAGTCACTCCTGGAGGAATGACCAGGTGAGGAACAGCAGTGTGCTTGAAGCTCTGCTGAGACACGATAATTCAAAGTGTCAGCATGAACTATTTCATCTGCAAAAGCCTCTGGGGCACCCAGCCCTCTGCACCCAAAAGAATAGGCTRCATGAACAAAGGGGCAGTAATATTCTCAGGAGACCAACTGCTTGGGGAAGAAAGTTGATGAGAAATAGCCTGGTTTTGCTGCTGTGCCTTCCTGTTTGTGGATGTACAGTTCACAGCAGAACACTGGGCCTGGCACACTGATAATCCCACCTATTCATCCATGAAAACTCCACAGGAAAGCCCTGATCACAAAGGTGCAATGAGGGAATTCTGACAAGTGCAGTTTTGCATGGCAAGTAAAAGGACAGAAGTGTTAATTAAGAAAGCAGCCTAATCATGCCAGAGCTTGCTGGACAGAGAGGAATCCCACTCCTGGACTCCAAGAGGGAAGAAGTAACGCTAGGTCCGTGATCCAGGGCACATATTTAAAGCAAGGCAGGAGAAAGAAGCTCTCAGGGCAGCCTCTTCACAAGCCCTGGGCTCCCACCCAGACCCCCTGGAAATGATGCAGTTGCTTAAGCAGTGAGTRAAACTTTCAAACCCAGGTCTCTGTGCACTCTGCATCCAATTTGCAAGTGCTAACAGGGCACTGCTTTGGGGCTCTGGAGCTTTTTAGCTCCAGAGATGAGATGCTGCTCCACATGTTTTTCATTTTACACGTCCACCTCTTTCCCAATCCTTTTGCCAAGGGTTAGATTCCCAGGGTTGCCTGAACGCTCAAAACGTTTCTGGGCAGACCAGGAGAACACAAAGCAGATAAACTCAGTGCACCCATTTCAGCAATCACTAAACACTGGCTGCTGCCATATCCCAGCATAGCTCTTCCCCATGTCTGAACATCAGTGCTTTATATTTAGCAGCACAATTCATTAGTGTGACCCTCATTAAACCAATTAACTCCAACCATTAACTCGACAAGCTATCACAGGCTCGATCCCTGGACTGTGCTAAGCGTCAGTGAGGCCCTCTCCCAAAAGCTTCAGCTGCACCAAAGGCCAAYGCTATGCTCAGTGAGATACCAGCGAGGGGTTAATTTCTAGGGGACAGAAAACAACTGCCCACTGGCAAWGGATGCCTGCTGAGGTGCAGCTTTGCTTGGCAGCTCCTGCAGATTAAGCTTTAACTAAACTTGAAGAAGGTTGTGGAAATACTTGCTGTAGAGCCTCCATTGAAATGGGGCAACATCAGTGCAAGAAGCTGGCTGCGGAGGACAAGTCAGACCAGATAAACCACCAGGTTTATCCGGCCAGATAAACCACCAAGGTAACAAGCAGGACGGTGACATGCACCGATGGCAAAACACCTTTGTAGATTTGGTAAGCTGTTTGTCATGCAMAACAGCCAGGTAACTCTGCTTACTGCTGTGTCCAGTGCCAGAAATTCCTCAGGAAGGAGTTAACATACTAACCACAAGCTGGTTACCTAACTCAAGCAGAACTCCATGCAWACACCTTCTTGCACGTGAGGTGCAACTGGACAGAAAGAAGTACCCAAATGTGCAGGTAACTCCATCACCAACAGCCCGGGAGGGTGCAGACCAGGGCCAGCAGCTTCTTCAAGGCGGGCACAGCTAAGAAGACACCACAGCAGCTGCCAGCAGATCCACCAGCAGCTGGGACATGTTCCTTGCCCTTCCCCACCTCCTTACCTTTCTCCGCCTGTCCTCTTCCGCGTACTTCTCTGCGTTCTTCACCATGTTCTCAATTTCATCTTTGCTAAGGCCACCAGAAGACTGGATGACAACTGCATTAGAGAAAAAGCATTAATGAAGAACACGTGCTCATCTAGGAGAGAAGAGGAGGCCATTATTGCCCAAGGCCTCTGAAGAGCAGCCGCTTGGCTCTGCACCAGTGAAGACCCCGTGGGCAACCTGGAGGCAGCTGGTGGGGTAGGAGCCTGACATGTGAGAGCCATGAGCTCCCCAGACACTCCCTGGGCCCTGCCCTGTGTCGCTTGGCCTGGTCTGCACTTACTCCTCCTGGAAAGCCAACATGAACAAGGGCCCCAACCCCAGGGGCGTCCTGGCAGGTAAAGCAACAGGAGGAGTCGGTTTACCGGGACACAGAGTTTCCTTTCACTGCTGGATAGCAGCCCAGGCTGGAAGCAGGGCAAGAGCCACCCAGTTGCTCATACTGCCCTCAGCGAGCAAGAGTAGCGCAATTCTACAGCACTCTTTTGGCTTCATTTGTGCCAAAAAAGCTTGTCAAGTTCCACAGGAAAGCACTCTTTYACTGGGAAAGAGAAAACACCTTGGATGCTGCAAATACAAAATAAAGATACTTACTAGAAATCAGTTATCTGTACAATATTTGGTACAAAAATTGTACCCTGAACACAGAGGTACACATTGTGCATTGGATACAGATGAAGGATGAGTTCAGTTTTTGTAATTAAGACTGTGCCTACATACAGACAGGCAACCAAAGGAGTTCTAGTTGCCTCTTACCAGGAGATACTTAACTCAGAGCTGGAGGTCTACAACATGTAAAAAAGTCTTTTTTACTCTACAAGAAGCCAAGGCTACAAGCAGTGCACTCCYGGAAACAAATTTAAGTCAAAGCCTAAGCTGTGTCATCAAGAACAACATATCCCTTCACATTGCCAATGCCRTTAACAGCATTTTCCTCTGATTGCTCGTCTTGTTTCCTCCAAGAAACAGCTGAGATGCAGCACAGACACTTTCCAGTCTGAGGCACAAGGGAGGTTATTTTCTGTTTTCTATCAGGGGAAATCTGCAAATGCTTCCAATCAGTCTTCTGCTAATTCACAATATCTGAGTCCATGATAGGAATACGGAAAAAACAAATTCATATTATTAATTAGCCCAAACCATCAGGCCTAACATCTCATTGCTCTATGGAGCATAATACACTGCCAGTCCCTGAACTTCCAGATTGAGAGGTGTTCTGAGGCTGTATGTATGAAAATGAACAAGGTGGTTACCAGGATACCTGCAGCAGATTCCTGAACTTCAATATTTCTGCTACAAAATAGTTGGAAACAAACCTGCCTTTAGCCCAAATAACACACTGCAGTCCTTGCTGCTGGGCTGCAGCATCCCCAGCGTGGCAGCTCTGTTACTGAGAGTCACCCGGTGCCACCAGCAGCCACCTCAGCTGCACCACAACCCTCCCCTCCTTTGCTCCGCAGCCCCCTTGGGCTCTCGTACTTACTCTGCTGCTCGCGTCCGGTGCCTTTATCCTTGGCCGAGACGTGAACGATGCCGTTGGCGTCGATGTCAAACGTGACCTCGATTTGGGGCACTCCGCGTGGCGCTGGAGGGATTCCAACCTGGAAGTGAGCAGCGCTCAGCCATGAGCTCCCACACAGACATGAGCTCAGGGTACCAGCCTCTGATGCCGGGCGCGTTATCGTGGCCATCAGCCAGCTCCACTATTAACTAAGCTCCGGGCTGAGCCATTTAAATGCCTGTCAGCATCCTGGGGTGAATTAGCAATACTCTGACAGATTTAACAGCACACAGACAAGTCCACAGACCCCGCAAGACATGACCACGTGTTTGTTTCGGAGATAACAAAGCTGCTGCTTTAGAAGCGAGCAAGCCACTGCTGTTCATGCAGCCTTTGGGGCATGACAGCAAGGTGGCATGTCTTGTTTCTGCTCCTCTGGGCACTCTGCAGTTAYCTCTACCTAAATAAACTGACCAGGGCAGGGAGCTGGTTAGTTGGCCACGCTCAGCTGCGAATGCCACACGTTGCACACAGATCCTGGTGACACAGCCCTTCTCAAATAAGCAGGGAGCTTCCACAGGAACTTGGAAAAAAGAGGTGCCAGGCTAGAAACTGGCCACAGTGCAGAGCCTGCTGACTCAGGTCTAGTGTCTGCAGTGAGATCAGCACCCCATGGCAATGACCAGAGGAAAGGACAGTGCTCAGCTCATCTGCTGCACAGGCCAGGTACCGCACAGCTCTGTTTACCCCTGGCACTGGAGAGGGCCTTTCTAGGTGCCTGTGCCTAGCCCTAAAGCAGCTGCCAAATCATATAAATCTTGCTCAAAAAAACTTCAGCTCCCTCTTAAAGCCCTCTCGCCTTCTGTTCTTCCCATGTCACAGGAGGCTCTTCGAGAAAGGGATTCTACCTTTGGAGGCTACTTCTTTACTGCAAAATGGAGCAAATGYCTTTTGTAACAACAAGTACAAACCTCACAGTGCCTTCAAAGCAAGGGTCAACTGAAATGGAGAAGGCCCTGAACTTTTCAAAGGTCGAGTCTAAGGTCATGAATCCTAAGAGCCAACATACCAGCGTGAACTGGCCGAGGAGCTTGTTGTCACTCGCCATCTCTCTCTCCCCCTGGCACACTTTAATCTCCACTTGCGTCTGGCCATCTGCAGCTGTAGAAAACACCTGTAGAAAAGGAAAAAGTTACTGAATAGCTGGGAAATTCTAACTGCACCAGATCATGTGCTGCAAGTTGATTAAATAACGAGGAGAGGCATAAAGAAGCRCTGAACTGAAGGCATGACTATTCACTACCTGATTTTCATGCCCTTGGTCCTTAAAAAGCTCTAAGGAAACATCAGGCCTAGTTCACTGGTCTCTTGGTCCTGCAAAACTTAAGAGCATCAGGAAAAAGTGGGGCAGGAGGTAGGATCCTTCCCAGGCACACGGGCTAAGAAAGGTCAGCTCAGCAGGGTGGTGCTCAGTTGGAAGAGGTCTCCACACAATTCCCTTTCAGAATGATGTGTTGACAGTTACATCACAGCACACACACTGTGTTCCTGACCAGAGCAGAAACATCGTGGGATATTCTGGCACACGTCAACTCAGCTTATCCTCTTGGGATAGGTGAAGAATTAACAGAGATGCTGCTCAGGGGCTGACTAAAGCCTGTTTTGCAAGCTGAGAAGACAGGATAATCTCTCTGGATGCTTTGTGCAGCATGGAATGACTGTCTTGAGACCACCATGGAACAGAGATCCAGGCAGATCAGTAGGTACCTGGCTCTTCTTGGTGGGAATGGTGGTATTCCTGTTGATGAGCTTCGTGAAGACACCTCCCAGAGTCTCAATGCCCAGGGAGAGCGGGGTCACGTCCAACAGCAGCACGTCTGTAACATCACCAGCCAGGACRCCGCCTTGAATGGCGGCGCCAATGGCCACGGCCTCGTCAGGATTCACTGCTTTGCTAGGCGCACGGCCGAACAAATCCTGCACAGTCTGTTGCACCTGGATGGGGAGAAAGCAGAGCTCATGTTCAGTGTGCGCCACCACCAGCAGTCTTGGCTAGAGGGTTGTACTGGAGGAACCCTCACTCGGACATCCCACTCTGCTCAGTCCCTTTTGAAGGGTCCCTTCTGCTTCTGCTGCCACAGAACCCCACGCAATGACGCAAAGACTAAGCTCCTAGGACGCGGCAAGCTCAGTCTCGAGGTGTCCCTGTTACGCTCCCTTTGGAGGCTCTCTCGCAGCCTGCCCTGCATCAGGGTTTGCCAGCTACAGGTCAAGCCAAGCACCCACAACTGTTCTTTCCACCCAGCCTTTCTAGAAGGGATCACTCCACAYTATCATCCCATGGGAGGCACTGCTGCCCTGGGATCCACATGAGCCCACGCTGGGCACAGCAGAGCTGGCAAGGGCGGCACCACTGGGGAGGTGGCACACAGGGGAAGGTCACARCAGCCTGAGCAGAAGGACAGCTCATCTTGTTTGGGTGTAATAAAGAGAAACTGAAGCTGTACGAACAGCAAACTCATTCTCCAACTCTATTTAATGGGCTTTTTTGACGGAGAGGTAGAGCTGCTCCGTCAGCAGATGCTTTGAGCTACTAGCAGCTTTTTCACTGTCCTGCCCTTTCAGAGGGACATGCTCATGACCATGACAGGTTTGYGCTGAAGCTCCCAGATGGGAACGCAGTGAGGCCCTTGCAATGGGCCACAGCTCTACGGCCCTCTCCTCCATGCCGCAAGCAAGCCCTTCCCAGGCAAATACCTATCCAGGGCTGCACCACGTGCCAAGGAACCGCATGCTGGAAGCCAACGTCCCATTCCTCCGCACTCAAGCGGGGAGTGTTTGTTACAGAGGAAAACACTGTGTGAGCATGTAAGTGTGAGTCTCCCCCTTGGAGGCATTAAGTACCAAAGAAACATTATTTCTAACCATTCATTTTATGTTTCCTGGAGTACTGCCCACGCTATAGTGCAAAGAACACGAGCTCCCTCCAAGCAGGGGTACTCAGCAGCACAATGTGTGCGAGAGAAGGTGCTGGGTGCTGCACGGACACAGGGTCTGGCGCCCGGCGGAGCCACAGCTCCCAGCGCAGCCCTCAGGAAAACACTGTGTGACCTCAGAGCCGCAGTGGGCTAAACTCTGACCTGTTTTTAAGCAGCATCTTCTGCCCCCCAAAGACACATAATACTTCAGGATAGGTTTCCTAGGATCTCAGATGCTGTTTTGGGCCTTTATATAGAGTTAGCCACCCTGTTTTGCTCATATCCAGCTGCTACAGCCTGCAGGGAGGGCAGCACCGTTACCCCATTTAAGTTTTGGCCAGAGTTGCAGCTTTTATCTTGTTGCCCTTCCCCTGCCTCCTGCATGACCATGCGCACACACTAACACGGGTCATTCTWCACTTCCAGAGGAGGACTAAAGAAGGAAAGCTCAGTCAGCAAAACCCTTCTGCTTGTGCAGTTTTTGCACCGCACTGCAGCTCATCACGCKGTGGGTGCTCTGCAGTCACGCAAGCCACAGCAAGGCAAAAATGCCCAACAGGTTATTGCCGTGCAAAGCATACCTCTACCACATGCTTAATTCCACATATAAAGGGGAAAATAAAATAGTTCATGCATCTTAAGGATGTTCTGTGCACACCAGAAGAATTTAACCTGACTTGTAACTCCTTGGAACTCCCATTTGTCTTGGCAAGACGCAATTCAGCTGTGGCCCCCACATGCCAGCTGAGCACCCCTTGCTTCTGCTCTCCCATCCCTACCTGGCACACAATCCACTCCTGGGGGCCTTTCCGTGCTGCAAGGGCAGGTCACAAGTTCCCAACTTTTCCTTTTTGGGACACCCTTAAAAAGGAGCAGCGGGCAGCAGTGGCAGCTCTCTGCCCAGCAGCTTAACGTGTCCTCCTACCTTGGGCATCCTGGTCATGCCGCCGACCAGGATGACYTCGCCAATGTCGCTCTTGCTCACTTCGGCGTCCTGCATGGCCTTCTGGCAGGGCGCCACCGTGCGCTTGATCAGCTCGGCCACGATGCCCTCGAACTGGGCCCGGCTCAGCTTCAYGTTCAGGTGCTTGGGCCCAGAGGCATCCATGGTGAGGTAGGGCAGGTTGATGTCAGTCTGCAGCACAGGAAGGGACAAGGAGTCAAGAAGAGCAACTGTAGAACAAGGCGGCTACACGCAGGTTTCAGATCGAGCCACACACTCTGTTGTGCCTGGAATTTCTGCATTACTCTTTACCTCAGACCCTGGTCTACGTGGCATAAGGAACATCTTAMATTTCTGACAAGAGAAGGGAGAAATTTGCTTAAAAAAAAATTCATGGCTACAACTATTAAATATAAAATCTAACACTGTGTTATTGGAGGTCTTTTATCTTCAAGTAGTAGTGCTCACTGCAGCTTATGCAATGTTGTCTTACACTCATCATCTTTTAATGTTACTATAAACAWATTGAGATGAAACCATCTTTGCACTAGTGCTTTCAGTCACTAGTATTTAGCTTTCATCATAGCCAGGAGATAAGAGGTAAATATCAGAATTTACTATCTTTGTTCCCTCCCCCTATGCTCTGCTGGAGGGAAGTCCATTGAAACTCTTCCAGCCTGTCAAATGCCTAATATTTCATACAAGACAACCCACTTCAAGAATATAACTCACAACCATTTCCTCAAATGCAAACACCGAGGTGCAAGTAACTAAAATTCATCAGTCCCAGGGACCATAATCCTCATCTTTTTTTTTTGGTTATTTGGCCTCACAAGTTCACATGCTGCATTTTCAAAGTCAAGCATAGAGTAAATTCAACAACCATCATGTTTGGATGTCGAGTCATGCTGACAGCACAGTGTGTCACAAATCAAACCAATTATAACATTAATGCTTTAAGCTCCAGAGATTAAGTCTAGAAAACATTATATGAACTTATATTACTGGCTAGACCAATGCCCTCCCTTTTCTAAGCAGCAGAGTCWAATACTAGGAAGAACTTGGCCAAAAGCAAGCAGTTATTCTTCACTGCTAAGGAATTAAAGAATCCGGTTCTCTCTAGTATGAAGAGACTGTACTTGCCAGCTCATGAGCTAGTAAAACAGACTGCTACATCCCTGGCAGGACTGTGCTTCTATTGTGACTGGCCTAAACTCCTTCTTATGACTTCTCCATTGGCTGCCAAAATGACCACCGCTGACAAAAAAAAATTCACTCAAAATTTAGAAACTGCCATAGTCCCYATTTCAATTACTTTGTAATTGACCTTGATTTCATTTCAGCAAGGCTATTACACCCCCTAGCTTGCTGCTTCTCCAGCTCCTTATTCAGAAGTGAATAAAGGTCACGCTTAAAAGCATCACTATATGAAGCAGGCAAAGAAAAAGGGGGTGTAAACTGTCTGCTGGCTAAACAACACTCCTATGGGCAAATAAGTGAAGATTCTCTGCAAATAATATTTCCTCTCAGCCATGCTAGCTGCTCCAGGGCTACAAGTCTAGCTGCACAATAGTTTGCGGCACATGAATAATATCACAAGATTTTGCAACAGCTCTAGCAAAACCACAAGGGCTGCCACAAATGCAGCAAGCAGGACCAACTGCAGCTACACGCCCATCCCAGAAAGTCATATTCCCTGCATAAGGCATCAGCATCTTGTCAGAACAGAGGCAGAAAAAAATAGCACTGCTACCCTTCAAGCAACTATTTTCTCTCCCAGATACTGGCAGACTATCCTGTTGATGATTTTCAGCTAAACTGATCTCACCCAAAGGTTCTTCTGCTAGAATAGAAAGCAGTTTTCTGCTTTTTGCTTTACAGTTTTTTGGAAACAAATGTAATACAGTGTTTTACTAGACAGCTCCGAGTACAGCCACTTACTTGCACAGATGAAGACAGCTCACACTTTGCTTTCTCTGATGCTTCTCTCACCCTTTGAAGGGCCATGTTGTCTTTAGTCAGGTCAACTCCAGTCTAAGCAACAAGAAACACTRGTTAACAAACTGTTAGCCAAGGAAAACTTGGCTTTTGCCAACAGCTACAGAGTGCTTTTCTTCCCTGGAATTCACTTYTCTATCATACTTTAGGAATAGATGCAGAAATAGAGCCAGATACATTCACTTTTCTGCTGATTTCTCTTATCTCTGGCAAATATATTCAGCATTTCAAAAAAAAAATCTGCTAGCCCTCGCTGCTCTGGAAATGACTGCATGGCACATTAACTTATTAAAGCTTGGAGAAGTTGCCACTTCCCASATATAAAAGCAAGACTAGATTAGCAGTGGAGTATAAATTACACCACATCGTTTCCAYGGGCAGCCTTACAGTACACTATAAGGTAACTGTATTGATATATCCAGTTTATCCATGGATTTATAAATAGATTATGTATTGGATAGTTCTGCTACACTCCAGGAGAAAAATAAAGCAGAAGTTCTGCAATTCCATCCATTTTCCAGGAGAGTACTACTCTGCCTTATGCAAATAAGAGTAAGAACTGGAAGTCATGCTAACCACATGTCCTTAATWCTCTGCTTTTAAATCTCAGGTATGATGCGGATGACAACCTCAGTCTTAGTAATTTAAATAAATGCCCACTCTTCCACAGAAGTTAAACCAAGCTTAAACACAGACCGAATTCTGATGAGACACCTCACCTCTCGCTTGAACTCTTTGACAATATGCTGCAGCAAGGCCTGGTCGAAGTCTTCTCCTCCTAGGAAAGTGTCACCATTGGTGGACTTCACCTCAAAGACTCCCTTCTGGATTTCCAAAAYGGAAATATCAAAAGTGCCACCACCCAAGTCATAGACTGCAATACTGCAAGAACAGAGGCAGAAAAACATTACTTTCTAGACAAAGTTGGGCAACCCAAAACATTTTGTCCACAAAACATGTTGTCATCCATGGAGTCAGCTAAAAACCTTCTTTAAAGACACCTGTGAACAGATTGCACAGTGCACCTATTTCTCAGGCACAGAGTCCACACAGAAGTCTTCTATGCCAAGCTGCTGCATTAGAGAGGCACAAAACCCTGCAGGTTCAGCAGGGAGGGCTCCTGCRTATGTGGTTTGGTAGCTCCTTCCCCAAAAAGGGGCTTGCACACCTAGAGACAAGTGCATGGACGCTGGAACCACTATAAAAAAACACTTTGCAAAGTATGAGACTTCCACAACATTATGATCTGCACCAGAAATGAAAAGTGAATGTTTGATAGAGACAGAAGGTAGAATGCAGGCAGCACACTGGGCACCAAACCTGAACATACCCCCTACATCACCCTTAAGCACCAGTGCTGAGAGCCAGCTGTCCTGAGCTACACTTTGTCACTGCTAACAACAGTTAAGAACTCAACTAACACTCAGCTTTGGTAATTAAGTTCAAAAACAAAAGACTTCCCAAAAAACATCAAGATGCACTTATAAAACAAATTGCAACATGATTATTTAAGAGAGAATAGGTGTTATGAACAAGCACYTACATTTTGTCTTCAGACTTATCCAGACCATAGGCAAGGGCAGCTGCTGTTGGTTCATTAATCACCCTCAGAACATTCAAGCCAGCAATCTGCCCAGCGTCCTTGGTAGCCTGGAAAGAAGCAAAGATGTTGAGAGTAGAAACTAAACTCAGTCTAAAAGCCAGACCAAAAAAAAAAAAACCAAAAAAAGCCTTACAGCTTAGTGAATACCTGTCTTTGGGAATCATTGAAGTAAGCAGGAACTGTGATCACTGCATTCTTCGCTGAATGTCCCAGGTAGTTTTCTGGGGAGAAAAACAAAATACACAAAAAAGGTTAGCTTCGCAATTAAAAATGGCAATCAAATTACCATGTAGTTAAGATTTTTTTCCCCTGAGCTGAAAAGAGAAGTCTGCTGCTCAAAAACCTGCAGCTTTTGAGGACAATGCAAAGGGAGGTGCAACAAAGCCAAATCTTTCCTTATTCAGGTCACTGGAACAGCCTTTAGACCTCTGACAGAGCCAAGCCCTCTGTCCTTGATCTGTAACCACACRGAGCTGGTGAGCAAGAGCTTATCTGAGGGCTTAGCTTGCCTTTTTGGGGTGTAAGACTGAAGTTTCCTGTGTTTGCTGCTGCAGTCTGCTGCAGGCAACACTTGTACTGAAGTAATGCACAAAGACTACACATTTGCAAGTGAGAGCTGGAAATGCTAAAYGCAGTACAACAGAAATACATATTACAGTCTAGTTTCATGTCAGAACCTTCTAGCCTTGAAAAAGGGCAGGATGTAATCAAAGGCAGATTCAGACCTGCTAAAAATAAGACCACATGTGAGATGCAGACTACACGCCAGCAAGATTTATGCCTGTGCATTAACCCTTACTCATTCATTATTCTTGCTTTGCTTGGAAAAGAGGCAAATTGAGGTAGCATCCAGGGCAAAACTCAGCTGACGYAGAGAACCTACTGCTCAAGGCAAAGGGGCACAAGCCTTGGTTCTGAAATAAGACAGGACCATCACACCTGGATGCCTCACACCCTCCATCTTGTTATTTCATTCCTCAATGGCACTTCAGCAAATGCCCTGGATGCAACACTGAAATAGCTCTAGTGAACCTTCAGTAACAACATCCAGGCTTCTCCAAATACTTAATACTGGATGCCCGAGTGCTTTCCAAATCAGACTGCACAAAACAGCAACTCGGTGTGTTTTTGCTTACGTATGGCACTCAGTTCCCCCCGAAATCGTATTAAGAATTGAAAGTGGGGAAAAAAAACAACTCCAGTTCAATACAACAACCCTTCTTGTAACTCACGATGGAGACTTTATAGTAACAGAGTAGGCAAAAGCCATTTGCCAGGTAGGTAATCCAGTCACCTCAAAACAGTAGTCAATTTTGGAAAGAATATGCTTTAAATAAAGCACTAACATCTTGTCAAAGTCCCCACTTGAGGCAGGAAGACTGACTTGCCCTGGGACTGTGCAGCAGCCCATCTCTGTATCCTCCACTAYCTGCTCCACAGGAGGCCCTGCTGTCCAGGGGCTCCACAACCAAAAAGCGTTTCTGACAGCTGCAGCTCTTCCTTTCCCCAGCACCCAGCTCCCATTTGTGTTCAAACACGGCAAAGCCCATGCTGCACCAACCTGCTGTCTCCTTCATCTTCATCAGCACAAAGGCACCGATCTGGCTTGGAGAATAGAGCTTCCCATGAGCTTCCACCCAGGCGTCCCCATTGGAGGCACGGACTATTTTGAAGGGAACGTTCTTACTAGGAAAGAGAAAAAATTCCAGAGCTGATTTCTGCAAGAATGGCACCACATGCAGCACCAAGTCCTTAGAATGAACMCCAGCAGAACAACATGTGCAGGTTTTCACCAAGCTTTCCCATGACAGCTGCAGATCTGAGGAGCCCCAGAAGCACCAAAGTATTTTGTTTTCCCCGCCTCATTCAGCTAAAATCACTTAACCACAAATCTCTTGGTATAATTGCACAGCATTGTTGACAGATGCTGACGGTTCTGCACAGCATCAGCAAGACTGTGGGGCAGACCAAAAGGCTCGTTATACAATTTCAATACTGAAAACCTCAAAGATTAGCAACTAACACAGCCAAATACAAAGCAGTCTTCAGCATATCAGCAACAACTGCTCCAGTCATGAAGATTCAACTACTTCACTGCCCATGTTGCATTTAAAAACTGTGTAAGTCCCGCTGTGCAGTACGCAGTGTAACACGCGATGCGTTCTCTGCTCTCACTCACATATCCTTCTTCACTTCGGGGTCATCGAAGCGCCGCCCGATGAGGCGCTTGGTGGCRTAGAAGGTGTTGTGGGGGTTGGTGACCGCCTGCCGCTTGGCGGGCATCCCCACCAAGCGCTCACCATCACCCGTGAATGCCACAACCGACGGCGTTGTGCGGGCACCTTCAGCGTTCTCCAGCACCTACGTAAGAACCCGAAGAGGGCAGCATCAGGAAACAGTGCTGCCAGAGACCCCCACTCTGAAATCCAACCCCTAGCAGAGCTAGCGCGCAATGATGCTCGTTTGGACTTACTTTAGCTTGTTTTCCCTCCATAACTGCCACGCAGGAGTTGGTTGTACCCAAATCAATTCCAATAACGGCACCTTTGATTGCTTCTGAGCTGTAAAGCATATGACATAAAATCRTGAGTTGTCACCTTTCTGTAGTAGTTACCTTGAAGGGCAAGGRAGCTGCCCATCTTGAAGGCAGGATCAAGGCATTTTCTGCAAAGCAAACCCATATTTTAATCCTGAGCATTAGACTAAAGCCAGAAAACACCTTACACTGGAAGTCAGCCTGGTACAAAGCACCTCTGAATTCCATCACATTTTACCTAAATCTCCACTTGTTTATCTACGTAACTGAAACACTATTCTTCACCAGAAGAACCTTTGTTAAGTCTATATATAGTCTCAATCATTGCTCTTTTTGACATAAACATGAAACAACAACAGATTCGGCCCCTCCCCACACGAAATTTCCTAGACTGTTTTTTGGTTAGTTTTGATGATAATACTCAAACTTGTGCTTGAAAGCAACCACCTGGAGTGAAAAATTTTAACAAAATATTGAATTGGTTTATTTTTAAACAATGAAGAGAAGACAGTAAGAGCTGGATACATCCATGCAAGCCTCTGAAACACAGTCAGAGCTGCATTTCCACCCCYGCCCCTCCCCAATCCTAAAGATCAACAGAGGAGCTCTGAAAAGTAGGTCTGGTTCTTACACAAGCCAAACTTGAACCCTTTCCTTTTTCCAGGAAGGGCATAGTCACCCTTTGAGGCCAAAAAGAATTCAGAAGCCGAGTTTTGCCTGATAAATAAAATAATGATCTGAGACGAAGAAAGGATATTGCAACCACTTCCTTGCCAGACAGTATCTTAAGACAGTGTGAGGAGATGCTAGGTCCATCATTTTAAGATGTCATAAAGCAGCGAGCCTGAAAATGAGCAACTGCTCAACTGCAGGGCAGCTTTCCCAGCACACACAGATTCCCTCTGTTTGGTGGGATTTATCCAGGGYGATCCCCTGCCTCAACTGCCAGGCAGCTTTCCTAGCACATACAGATTSCCCCTGTTTTGGACCCTTGGCCATCAGGGCATCAGTTACAAAACATGTCAGCTGCACAACTACCTGCTACATGTTTTTTACCCACTCTGTATCCTGCAAGAAAAAAGAGGCAAGTAGAACAGACAAGCTGCCTGAAACTAGTTTAGATGCAGTGAAATAGAGCTGCAGATCACTCTGATTTCATGACATGTGATGGAGAGGGGTAACTGACACTTAAAATAAACAGCTGCACCTCTTTTGTGTCTAACAGGAAATCCCTAAACACTTTTTGCAGAGACTGCTCCTGGTAGGAGCAAGGGGGTAGTAATAAAGATACAGTCTTAAAAAAACTAATTCTCATGCGTTCTGGTTTTACCTTTTGCAGCTGCTGAAATGAGTTTAAAAAGTAAACATTTTCTTCGATGCAACTAACTGGCTTGTTGAGACTTTGCAAGTTCTCTGTATTTATTGGAATACTGCTCTTAAAGAGTGGCCCAAATAGAAAACTTGTTACTAAACTTCTTAAGTGCTCACRAAGCAGAAAACAGCAATTTGGTTTTGCTCCCTTTTTGCATACAATCAGCTGTGGAACTAGGGTGAAAATGAAGATAATACCAAACTACAAAACCTGAAGCACAAGGAAACACTTACGCATAATGTCTGCTTGCTGCTGCTCTGAGAACATTTTGACTGAGGCCATTCCAGAATGTCTGTAAAATAAAGATGTGCCAATCAAGTTCCAGTTTTCAACATCAGATTGCCTTCAAGTCATACCTTTCAAGTAACACGGATTTTTTATAGTATTATTTTAAAAGTAAATGAGAATTTGATACAATTTCTATTTATCATGGAGTCCCAAAGCAATTGCCGCCTTCATTTTTTGGGAGGACACAACCGACCTGTATCACCAGAGCTGAGAAAATTTGCTCATGCAAAACAGCCTGTGAACTCGTTACCAATTTAGAAGACAGAAGACATTTCAGTGAGTTAACCCGAACCTCCAGCACGCGGCGAGTGGCAGCAGATAAACATTAACTCTGCTCCTTGGAGCTTTACAAAAGTCAGCAACGAAGCACCAACGATGTCCCTTGAAGAAGCTGCAGTGGGACTTTTGCAGTAATTCGTAAAATGTTGCTCTGGCCACAACTTTGCACGTGCAAGTCAAAAAAAAAAAACAAAAAAAAAACACGAAAAAACCCACTAGGTATAACATTTCCCCCCCCATCTGAAATGGAACTTGTAACAAAATATCCTAACGCAGCTGAAAGCGCCCGGGAACACCACCGTTTTGCTCCCGTTCCTGCGCTCGCTGCAGGCCTGCAGGGGCTGCCCGGGGCAAGAGCCCCCCGCAGCCGCTGGAGGTCTGGACGTCCGTGGCCATTTATAAAATACCCCCACGAGCACACTCGAGCTTGACGTTGACCAGCCATGGGTACAAGCAAGCCACAAAKTAGAAAAATCTCCGCCCAATTCTCCTATATCCCCCAAAGAGAGGGAAAAAAGGCCCCAAACAAGGCCCTGCGCAGGCCGGCCCTCCCCCACCTCCAGGGACTAGGCCAAGCACTTGGAAAACCCGCTCCCAACCCACCACGCCCGCGGCCCAAACCCCCCCCCCGCCGGTTACGCGTTTTGGGGGGTCAAAACCCCGGCACGTGCAGCGGGCAGAGCCCCCAGAGCCGCCTCCCCGCGGCCACCGAGCAGGCCCGGGCGGCGGCGCGGCCACTCGCCCGCCCGTCTCCCGGCGCGGGCCGCACCTGCGCGAGGCCGTTGGCGGCGGGGCCGCCGGCGCCCCGCGGCAGCAGGCGGGGGAGGCGCGCGGCGCCGCGGCTGGCGCTGAGCAGGGCCATGGCGGGGCCGGTGATGGCGGCGGCGGGACGGGGCTGCGCGCGGCTCTTCTCGAACCCTCCACTCACGTGGGCCGCCGCGGGGGGGGGGGGGGGGGGCGTGCCGCCGCAGGACCCCCGGCGCGGGCTGCCCCGCCGCGCGCCTGACTCTCCGCTCGCGCCTCGGCCGCTCCGTTGATGGAAGGAGCGCGCCGGGCGGCTGAGAGCCGCCCTCCTCAGCGCCTCAGGGCGGGCAACCGGCGCGGGCAGCGCGGAGTAGGGGGAGCGCGGGCGCTCGAGCGGCTCTCTGCCACCCGGGGCGGCGATGGGCAGCCCGGGTCCTGCGCGCGGCGGCGCGCTCAAGGTCGGACAGGATAAAGCGCAGGGCGATTGCAGCGGCCTTGCGTAAGGTGTGGGAGCGCACGCAGTGCGCATGCGTCACCGAGCCGCCACACCGCATGCGCGTGGCGGGGTGGGGGGGGGCGGGAGGCGAGAGCGTGCGCGGCGCCGCTACTGCGCCTGCGCAGAACGGCCGCTGGGCGGCGCGCGCACATGCGCCGTGGGGCGCCACGCTGAGGTGGCGGGACGGGGCGCGGGGCGGCGGCGGTGCCGGATTCCCCCGCGGCGGATCGAGCCGCTGGAGCCGCCAGACAGCGGCAGCAGAGCCCCGCGCCGCCCCGCCGGGCCGGGCCGGGCCCTGCCCGAASGGGTTCCGCGGCGCCGGCTCCTGTGGGGAGCGGCAGCGAACCGTGTCCGGCCGCCTCCGCAGCTGAGCGGGACACAGCTGGCTCCTGTGCAGCCTTGAGCCGTTAGGATGCGTTCTTGAGCTCTGTGGGCATCTGTGCTAGCAGGATGTTACTGGAAGGGGCACAATGCAGGGAGGGTACACAGGTTTTTCACAGAGTTTTGCAGAATCCCAGAATGGCTGGGGTTGGAAGGGACCTCTAGGGATCATCCAGTCCAATCCCCRGCTCCAGCAGGGACACTCAGCCGCATCCAGGCGGGTTTGGGAGATCTCCAGAGCAGGCGTCTCCACAGCCTCCCTGGGCAGCCTGTGCCAGGGCTCTGGCACCCTCACACCAAGGACACTCTTCCTCATGTGGAGATGGAGCTGCTGGGTTTCAACTTATACCCGTTGTCCCTTGTCCTGTCCCTGGCCACCACTGGGAAGAGCTTGGCCCYTTCCTCCCTACGTTCTCCCCTCAAATATTTATAATGCACCAGGGCTAGGTACAGCCTGCAATCCCTACACACAGTTAGAACCATTTGATTTTGAGAACAGACCGGGGAGGGAGATCTGCCGGAGACCAAAGGGTAACGTTTGGAGGAGAAGGAAACGCCAGATTCAGGCTTAGGGAGWGGAAATGCTCGTGCTCTGCCACCTTGGTGATAAAACAGCATTGAAGGGGCATGAGAAAAAAATCACATTCCCAGCTCCCTTCTTCCCAGGAGCACCAGCATATATCTTGAAAGCTTCAGTGCAGGGCTTTGCTGCAGGAAATAAGCAGTAAAGCATTTCTGTGCCCCCTGCCCAGGCAGGGGAGTGAGCACAAGCAGATCCCAGCTCCCTCCAGCGTAGGCTCGGTGCCTTACTCCCAGCACCCCGGGACACGGGAACACTCGGCACCAGCAGCCCRGCCCTGCATTCCCCAAGGAGGGGCCATCTGAGAGTTGATCCATGCCTTTAGCCGAGCCCCTGTGCTCCTGGAAAGATGCAGGGGGCCTCGCTCAGCCCCAGTGCCCCGTGCCCCTCACCTTCCTGAGCAGCAAAGCCCCAAGTTGCCGCTTCCGATAGCAGGAGGCCCCTGGCAGCAGCCGCTTTTCTCCCCCAGGGACCCGGAGGCACCCACTGCACCCTCGGATCTGGCCAGGCTGGTTCCGCTGCTGGCTGCAGCTCACACCGATTTCGGCAACCCCAAGGCTSTGCAGTGCGTTTGCCCTGCAGGAGAAGCGGGAGCCCCTGGGTGTCAGGAGCAGCACGCGGCGCCGCCAAGGTCACCCACCTCCCTGAGAGATTTTCCCACCAGAGGGAAAATCACTATAAAAAAGGATAAATTCCAACGCAGAGCCTTCGCCTCGGAGCGGCTCTGCTCCCCCGGGGCGGCGTGCGGCCAGCCGTCATCCTTGGAGAGTCGGGGGACGCGSCGGCAACGCTCCCTGGAGCCGGGAAGCTGGCTCCTGTGGTGGGAAAGATCAAAAAGGACGGCAAAGAGGGTGGGGGGGAAGACGCGCACGATGAGCTCAACGCCGAGCTTGTTATTTCCCCAGAGTCATCTCGAATGCTTCCTGTTCCCGTCGTTTTTGGAGGGAGAGCATCATTTAGCATATTGATTAAAATGACCTCCACCATTAATCTTTGCAGGGCTTTTTCTCCCGCGAGAGTGTGGGCGCTTTCCACTCCTGCCTCATTCCGGGCAGAGGGAGAAGGACACGAACAATTTTTGAAGCTATCCCACCCCAAGACCTAGTTATTCCGCCTGTTTTTCCCGTCACAAACTTAAGCAGCGAGAACGCATAAATTGTGTGTCAGAGCTGCCTTTTCATCTGTCCCGAGAGTTATAGACTGCACACATAAGACAATTCATGTTCCTCTGCATAATGAGGTGAATTTTATAAATCATAAATCTTCACTTAATATGCAGGTGGTGTTTGCTGCCAGGTTTAGGAAAACTGATGCAGTTGCCAAGTTCATGAATGTCATAAATCATTCATGCTAAGGTAGGCTGCAATTGCTCAGTCCTTTGAGACCGAGCAATTTCAAGGTGGTTGTTTAACACGCAAACACGATCCTCATTGATTGTTTATACAAATACATATTTTCATTAAGTATTATTCCTCTCCAATTTTCCTTTTTTTTTTTTTTTTTTTTTTTGCCTCTACTTTAGGTGCCAACATCTATACCCCAAAGAGTCCCCTGCTAGTGGCATCTTTCCAGTTGCAAAATTCCTGCAGAAATGCAGTTCCGACCACGTAAAAACCTGGGGATTTGTAATAGAAAGTGCCTCTGAAAGTGCTCAGAAAGCAGAGCTTGGATGTCTCAATAAATCCTGGTGCGTGTAAAGAAAGGCAAGCGCCTTAGTTCTTGGCGGACTGGATTTGGCCATACACAATTTTCCACAGAATTGCCTTTAATTAAAGGTGCGTTCCGGCCCCGCAGGATGTGGTGGGAAGCCCCCCGGGAATCGCACTCTCCCCTCTCTGGAGCAGATCTAAGCGAGGTGGGAAAAGCCGGAAGATTTTGCCTGCTGCTCCTCTCTTCCGTCACTGCTTACCAGCATAATTAACTCGTCACAAATAATCGGGCTCCGAGCTCTCTCCCTTCTCCCTCCCTGGGATGAGCTGACCAGTGCTCAGGTTTCTCAAGCTCAGCCCTTGCTGGGATCCGGAGATCCCTCTCTTCCTGTGAGTGCTCTTGCCGGTGCTCCCCGACGCCAGGGCAGGGTGGGCTCGGACCCGGGGAAGCGGCTGGTTCCTGCACACGTTCCCGCCAGCCAGCGGCTTCACGGGAACATTGACGGCAGCTGGGCCCGAGCAGCGACGAGGAAAACACGCGGCCCCACGTGGCGCTCTGTGTCACAGAGCCCTCCTCTCCTGCTCTCCTTTACGGATCACTTAAACATCCTATCCAGAGTCCTTACATCCAAATGAGCCACCCGATGCGGTGCATAAACAGCTACTGCAGGCCTGGGACCATCCTGGAGGAGCTTCTCACCTTTGGATGCTGGAAGCCTTTGACATGAAGCTCATTACCCCTTCCAAACGTGCTGCTTTTACTCTCTTATATAAACACACACTTAGTTTTGAGCTATTCCAAGAGGCAGGCGTGAGCCGGGGCTGGATCTGCCACGCGGAGCATAAATCAGAGCTCTCCAGCGGCTCTCCCGGACCTCTCCCATGCCTAAGGGGACCAGTTGTTTCTATTGACTCCCGCCTATGTCACTCGTATCCTGCGGTGAGAAGTGGGCCCTGCAGACTCATCGGTCATTGATTAACAGCAAGAGAATAACGGCAGCAGCTGCGCTGTTCTTGTACCGGCTGCTCCCGCAGCTCGCGCCAGGGCCTCCAGGGTCTCCGCAGCTCCGTTTGGGATCAGCGTCCTGCTCCCCATCACTCGAGACCATCAAGACAAGCAGATGGGGAGATGCCCAGAGATGGAGCAGGAACAGGCGGTCTCTCTCACGGGGGTCTGGGGACACTCACAGGCCAGGCCCTCTCCTCCCTAATCTCAGGAGGACCAGGTTCTTCCTCCAGGTTCCTCCTGCAAGCTCCCTCCAGACAACACGAGTCCTGCCCCTACAGCCCCCACGACAGCCCTGAYATCCACCAAAGCCCAGGCAGCTCTTGGTGACCTCCTTTCCCCAAGGSGGGTGTTTCCAAGCAGGCTGGGTCCTCTGTCTGAGCAGGGCTGCTGTCCCCAGGCAAAATCCTGCACCAAGACTGCAGGGTGCCAAGAAAGTATGACTAATTAGACCTGCTAATTAGCTCTCTGCTGGAACGCTCCACTGCTCCACAGACCTGGGTGGCATACACAACCCTGGGAAGCACCAGGTGCACGTGTGTTCTTGCTGCAGCGAGTCCCCAATTTAGAGGGGCCGGTGCCATCCTGTAGGTGCAGAGCGCACAAGCACCCTCCCCAGAGAGGCATCGCCCAGCTCTGCACCCGGGTCCAGACCTCCTTGAAATGGGGATGGAGAAGCCACCAGCACGAAGCTCGTGCTCCCATTTGGTGTTCCAGGAGCAGGGTCGACTCCGTCGAGCCTCCTGAGTCACCCCGCATCTATTCAGAGGGCGAGTTGCTCCCTGTACCGGTAGCGACGTTGGAGCAAAGCGGCCGTTGAGGCTCCGCTGCGGGGACTGGCGGTGCTTGTCCCGCAAGATGTAACGCTGACCAAGGCAAACATTCCCTTGGGTCAATAAAGTTGGCTATTTTTATCAGCAGACCTTATTAGCAATGCCAGRTTGAGCTGTGAGGCGCTGAT